TTTTTACAGAAAGAGTGGACGCAAGCGTGGATTACACAAGTAATGTAGCAAGCGCATATGCGTTTGTACACTTTATACATAGACAGGTTCGCTCTTCCCCAGCCTATTTTCAAGTTTGTACAAAACAAACGTCGAACCACACTTTCAAGTGTAGAGTATCATTGCTCCACCATCACTCCGACGGGACGCCAGTCTTCTGGAAGGAGTCCAAATACAGGTGAATAATGGCGTTAATGGTCTCCAAAATTAACTATATGATGAAAAGCTCTAGGAAACCAATTAGTTAGGCTGCCTGAATGACTTTGAGTTCGCTTCTAGTTGGTTCCGACTGGAAATAACGCTCACGATTGATGCTTGGCCATCCATCCTGCTTGACCTTAACTACCTGTAGACTGTTTAGTTTGGCTCGCCCAACCTGGTGACCAGGCTGTCCTTAACAACACCCTTAACTACCGAAAGGCGTATTCTACTGACGTGTTTCTTGACAATGATTTAAGGAGATAAGCAATCACATCACGACAAAGCTGTCGGGCTCTTGTCCTATGATAAACTAGTGACCCATCTCTCTTTCACTCTGCACAGATAAGCAAGTCTATCGTTGAAGTTTTGATTAATCCGACGAACTTCTGTGATCCCCTACAAGGCTAAGGGAATTAGGTCTTCTCACACTTAGCTGCCGTCGACTTAGGGGTGACCAAATTTACTGCCTGTGAGATTACAAACACAGGTATTCTGCTATTAAGTATGTATAGGCTTCTTCACAGAAATCCTCGAAAAATAGCTCATCGTTTAGTAAATTTTCGACTGTGTCTGACAATGACGCCTTTCCCATCTCTCTGGTGCTTGTCGCTCACCATTGTTTTCACTTGTTGCGGAGACTTTTGCTTAGCTTTGGTTGGATTAACCTTCTCTCCTCATCATGCTCAGAGCTCGCCGGAGTCAGTGTCTTCGCATCACTTAGTTCGGATGATGCAACAGAAATCAACTGGTATTTAGTAAGCTTTGGTATTGAGTTATGAGCAACCGTAGCTATTGCTTCTACAACTGACTGTATGTTATGACAGGCTGCCTCAGGATAAGTCTTGATGTCCCAACCTCAGACACACGTTTAGATATCTCTTCCTCGAATGGGGACCTAGTGTTCCGATCAAGTTCAGGATGTAGTGGCTTCATTGCTACCTTTTTTCTATGTCCCTTTAGTCGTTAGCGTATACATGCACGGACTAAGGTTTGATCGAGGTCTACACAAGTGGTCCAGGAAGAGTGTTGATCTTCAACTGACCATCGACAACGACAGCTCATCACTATATGATCTGTTGGAATCCATCACTGAACTGATGATGAGGGTCCACGTCGAAGCGTTCCTTAATTAAACTAACTAGATGTCATCACACATGGATTTCAGCCTTTCGGTAAGTTTTAGCCTCATTAGCAGCTTAAGCTCTCGATCTTCAGATGATGCGCTATGGGTTCTAGTCCCACCCCAACAAAACTGTAGATGATCACCATCATCTTCGAGTGCTTGGAAATCCACGGCATGCTCACCTGGCTCGCACAACTTTATTTGAGCATTGCATTCGCCTGCTATAATGACTGTATCTGAGCTTTTGGTTTTAAGCACCGGACTAGACACCTCTTGGTGGAACTCATTCTTCACGTGGTTCTAACTTTATTCTCTCGTAGTGTAACTGGAGACTATGAAGAGACATGGATATGTATCGCAATCTTTCCTTCTTCTCACCGATCCGTTCAGCCATACAGCACATATACGACTATCTACTGGAGTTCATTCCGATAGAGATTTTCCCTCCCTAGCACTCAGTTCTATGCTTGCACCTGCAAGTCCTCGTTAACCAACCGAAGAATCTCCTGACGTCCGTAAGGTGAATCTTGCAGAATTCCTGTTTTCGTCAGGTGGGATTAAGGGAATAACTACACTTGGTTCTTGTACGCCTGTCTCCGAAACAGTATAAGCGCATGGGTCAAAATGTTAGATTTTCGGCTAATGCCTGTTGCCCTATCCGACAGTGTCCTAAGGTTGAAAGCTTCAATATGAAGTTGGAAGAGTGGTTTTAAGAGATTATCAGTAGTGTTTTTCTGGCTGTAGTTGTTATTGGTGGTCTTGGACTTAAGAGGAGGGGCCTGATTATGGAATAATATTAGCAGTAGGAAGGAGGCAAGAGGATGGTGACATTGACAAAAAGGAGTGAACGGGAGAGCTTTATGTGCTTTTGGAGCTGTGTAAGTGATTTTTACTTCCCGGCTGCTTATACTGTGTTAGTTGATTTTTTCTTCGCGTACAACTAAATGTTAAGTGAATTAGTTTTGTACGATCGTAGAGCCAAAGCAAAAATTGATTGGTGAAGGCTGGCCGATTCGCACTAGTGATCAACTCATTCGTAAGAGCTTAAACCAATGTGACAGACCTACACACACATATATATACGGCCACTCAAAACGGTGTGATCGGTGGGTTTTGTACTAGAAACTCCCCATCAATAGGGAGGAATAAAGCGAAATTATTTCTCATTTTAAAAGGACCCCGATAAAAGATGAATACAATGCGTTCGTTGTTCTTTTATTCAAAAAGAAATATGCTGCAAATCATTGGGAAGTTAATTTCGAGTGGAACCCGAAAGGGAAGCGGCGAGTTGGTCGTCAGTGTGACTTGGAGGAGGCCATGTGAAGAGGAGATGAAAGCATGTGGGCAGACTTCGAGCGGGGTGAAAAAGTTGGCAGAAAACAGAAGGCAATGGAGATGCGCAGCTGAAGCCCTATGTTCCTCTAGGAATTAAAGGATATAATAATAATAATAAATTTATACAAGGAGTAAACACTTCGCGATAAACGAGCTGGAAATTCTGTACTGTGATTAAATCACATTCTTCAGAGCAAAACAAAATTTTGCGCTACACAAAATGTAGACTACTCTCGCCTTTTCTGTCTATTTCAGCATTCATTATTACCCGCTGATTAGCAGCAGCCACTCTCACCTAGTGGAATCAAATAAGCATTGTAAAGCGTTACCGGTGGGCAGTCAGTTTTCGTACAATCTTATCTTGGTCATAAAAGATGTTGCGTATTCCTGACAAACGTGATAAACTAGGTGCCAACGATGGTGAACATTGGGTGGACTTTCAATGAGCTCGTTTATTCGAACCAGTTTCTTGTTCGTTGGAGGCAACAGTCCCCCTATCGAGGATTAGATGTTCGTTCGTTGACAGAAGACCGGCGCAATATGATCAGAAGTATTAATTTATATTATACTGACGTTATTGGTAGACGCTTTTTACGTGCATTGACAGTAACCAACTGTGAATTGCATGATCAAGCTACTGTGTAAGTAACTTGCTATATTGGCTTATACTTGGTTAATCAATAAATCTTCGACTAACCGTCTGTCTTCTAATATACCGCTTGTATTAAAATCGAGTTGGTCATTATATACGTAAAATAGTATTCTGAGTTCTGATGAGTTGTCTTCTGGCTATAGCAAATTTTCCTGACACCATCAGTGACACTAGGAAACACAAAATGTAAATGTTGGAAGAACCTCGCACCAGTTTGACTGCAGCTGCGGAGCCAGCTACATTGGGCGTACAATTAGGAAAGTTCATCGTCGTATTTCCGAACATCATCCAACGTGGTTAAGTAAGGGACAAAAAAGATCTATTCGTAGCTCTATTTTAGCCCACCTCGTTGATACTGACCATAAGATTGATGTTAATACAGCATTTAAAATTATTTATCGCATTCCAACTTATCTTAATTTTGCTTTGCGAGTTCGTCTTCTACAGACGGCTGAGGCGATTGGCATTCATCTGAAGAAGCCAAGCCTATGTGTACAGAAAAAATTTGTACAGCCACTTTCCCTACCGTGGCCATCGTCACAAGAATGGATAAACAGGACTGCGTCACCCCCCCCCTAAACCTATAAAATTATATTTGTCTAAATTATTTATTTTATTTATTTTGACCACTTTATCTTTAATTTACGTGTTATTCTTGTAAAATTAATTTATTCTATCCATTTCCACCTTTTAAATCTGTATTGATTTTCTTCGTTAACTATTAACCCATTGACACTGTTTAATTATTGTTAACAAACTTATCGCCACTTGATTGGCAAACTGTTGTATTGCAATTAAAATGCTATATGTATTAGAGTAGAGCCAAAGATGAGGATCTAATCGAAAAGAAAATATTTCTTCGCTCAATCTTTCTGTTTTCTAAAACTAAAACGATGGGTCAATCATTATTACTAGTTCACAATCCCTGTTTTCAACTCAACTAAGCTGATTTCTGATTTACAGCTTGATTCCACACTGTATTTTTGGTTAAAGTCCCAGAGAGTCAATGGTAAATGAGTGAATACTCGCTTGGCCATACTCTGAGAAAACCATCAAGTGACATCACAAGACAGGCCATCGCTAGAGTGGAAGCCAAAAAGGAGGCAGCGAGTTTGTCGTCAGTGCGAGGGTGACATGGAGGAAGTCATGTGAAGAGGAGATGAAAGCATGTGGACAGACGTGGAGCCAGGTGAAAACGTTGGCAGAGAATTGAACGCAGTGGAGACGTGTGACTGAAGCCATAGGCTCTTCTAGGAACTAGAGGAAACAATAATAATAATAGTGTATCGGAAGTGCCGTAAGCCACCTGGGGGGCCCAGGTTCGACTCTCAGCTAACACACTCCTAAATGCTGTCTATTTTTCTAGCCGGGTTGCGAAGCCTGGAAAAGAAGGAAGGTCGGGACGACCCCACTCAGTAAAAAAAGAACACCACCGCTGCGGAAAGGTTGAAACTCTATGCATGCCTCAAAACGTTAAGGAACGAAAGAAATCAGGTGAAACGTATTTACTGCGACAGCTAGCTAATAATACTACCACTACCCAGTTAGTCAAATTGAATCAGATGCAGTGCAGCTCGAAACTGTGATCCACCGACTGAGTATGCCTAATGCTCCCTGTGCTTTCGACAGTTCTAATAGAAAAGACAATGTTTCATTACAGAATAGATTTTTTTCCTCTCAAGCACTGATGATGCACTAAAATCCACACTCACACACACACCGGGTAAAATAATATGATATAATAATATAAGAATCAAGTAAACATCGATATCAAAATTTTCTTTCGATAAAAAAGTAAGTTAGTGTAGAAAAATATTGTAAATATGTTCAGCATAAGTCATAAGTGAATGCTTCCTTTTTTCTTTCTTCTTCTCTAAGCAATCTCTAAATTGAAGAAAATTCCACACCAAAGATCAGTAGATCACTACGTTTCCATGGCCACTGGAGGTGGTTCGTTGTATGCAGGCGTAGTGTTCGTTTCAGGCATACAAGTATTACTAGTATTTGTTGAATCCGATGATGATTGATCAGCGTTATTTGTTGGTCTTTCAGGCAATAAGATATGCAAATAAGGATGTGTAATATTCACCGCACCCATAGCTGAAAGATCTGTATAAATTGCTGCATAGGTTTGATGAAATAGTAAGCCATCACCAGAAACTCGCCGACAATCAACAAGTATTGAACCAGCCAATGGATACGACAGGACACGGAAAGCAGTTCCTGGGTGTTCTGGACTTTTAATATCAATCTGTAAAACAGAAATACAATTTAGAAAGGGGTATATAAATAGAGAAGAAATGAAGGGGTCAATGAAGATAAAACAATCCATGTACGGTGACAGTCCGCAAACCACCGCCTCAGACGACAAGCACGCAAATTCAACGAATTGATTGATGAAACTGGCAAGAGTTGTTTTCGTCAGCCTTAATCTTCATATTAACTAAGAGAGAAAGGCGATCTTGAGACGAAATTGACCGAACTAGTCTCAGTACAGTAGTGTAGCAGTTCAAGTTGCCACATACTTCAAGTAGAACATAATGGTAGAGAAAAAAGAGACAAAGAAATAATCAAAAGAATTATAATGGGCAGAAATGTGGTGGACAAATAATGATAGTAACACAAGGGGAGGCGTCGGTGGCATAGTGGTTAGGACGCTTGCCGATCATGGACATGATTCGGGATTCGATCCCCGGCCGACGCACTCCTTTAACTCCCTGAGCCAGAAATAATGCTGGTCTAGAGGAAAGGTTGGGCGTAAGGCTAGCAACCCCATCCTTTAAAATAAACACTGTTACAGAAACTTCAAGCCAATAGCTTGAAGCCCTATGTTCCACTGGGGAACGTGAAGGAATAAAAAAGAAAACACAAGGGGAAGCAATGAGGTTTAATGAATATGACAGATTAAGACGAAATAAATAAATAAATAAACCATATATATATTCGTTGAAAAGAGTCTCTTCGCTGAATATTGTGTTCTTAGATTAAGAAGAGTTAACGGCCTTCTCCTACGTGCCAGTGTAGGCTAGGCTACCTGACCAACAATTTTCGTACACGACCGGTGGTTAGTGATAAGTGACCAAAAAGCATTAGAAGAAAAGCGATACAGTAATATTGTGCAATACCAGTCTAGTGCTTTTGGGTGCATTACAAATAAAATGGTTGGGGATACGACACTTCGTGACACTATGAGAAAGAACAATTACTCAGATAACCAATTCTAAGAACAAATAACCTGTCCTTGTTCAAAGACAATTTTACTGGACTACTACACTGCAACTCAAAATAAACAAGAGAGCGGCGTTCAATCACAATCACAAACTCACTTGGAAACAATATATGTCGGTTAACGAATCCTGTGGAGTTAATTAAGCAAACTATCAATTTAGTTTACCTAACTTCTTGTGATGATTACGAGATCAAATGTATACCTACGAATTAGTAGGTCAGGGTCAGCTAAACTGAAAAGGGCAGAAAAGCCCATCTAAATCTAGACAAGCAGATCCTAATATAATAAGAAATCTAGGGGGGGAAGCTCACCACACACAATTACACAGGATGGGACAAAGTGACAGTCCTACAAGTTAATGAAGCAGGGTGGAAGAGAGATTGATAACGAGAGCTCCATTTATCGAATCAAGTGGGAATACGTGCAGTAGGTAGGATCCCCACACATGCCCAAGACATATATATATATATATATATATATATGCAGACCTGACAACAGCAGAATGGTGATAAAAATATTAGGCGTGTGGAAATGAGGTGTACTTTTTACAGTATATCGCTTTTAGGTTCCCACTCTATATGTCGGCTGATCAGGCTCAAACAGTTAAACGCTTCATTCATGAAAAATTCACATTTGAACATTAATAGACGGAAGACCAGTAGTTCAGCGAAGAGTTTCTTTTCGGTAGGGAATTCATTTTCATAGCTGTGCAATCACAGATATATATGGTTGTTTTGTATGTGTGTGTGTGTACATTAAATTTGTCGAACGAAAATACAATAAATTTTTTGTGGAGTTACTGATTGTATTTTCGTTTAACAAATCTAATATACACACACATACAAAACAACCATAGATATTTGCGATTGCAAATTTAAACGTTTATCAGTTTACTGACTGAGTGAATGCATCTGCACCAGCCAGTGAGAACGATTTTGAGCCATATCACCGATTGCCTTCAGTCATCAGTGTTGACCGTGCCGAGAACCCCGACCAGGAAGTCCTCATCTTCCTACGTGACTGTCTTAAACTAACTGTTGTGGATTTCATTGACTGATGAAGCCATGTTTTGGTTTGACCACTACTGACTCTTTTCCAGCCTGACCCTATGTGAGCTAACACTGTCCGTCGAGGAAGCCAATGCTTTCAGTTTACAGTAATTAAAAGTTTAACTTTGCTCAACCAAAGTCTACGAAGCTAGATGTGGTTATGCACATATCTAAATTTGTGATGTTATTCCTTTCCGAAATAGATTACTTATAGACACCATCTCCAAAGACTCACACTGTTATGATGTCGCCGATTGGGAATACGAATGCTGACTGACGATAATGAACGCCTGATAATTTCTTAGTCGACTATTTCCTGACGCAAAACTAGTAAATTCCAGAAGAATCACACAGTAAAGTTGAAAAACAAGTGTGAAAGAGTGATCAAGAGTACGAAAATATACGGCATATATTGGTACAGTCACAAGGCTTGAATAATAAGTGTTAACCGTATGTTGACATCCATGAAGCAGCGATGTAACTTGTTTTTATCTGACTAAAAGAATGAGATACACTATAGACACATATCAGCTTGACAGACTAATGAGATCATTCGTGGGCACATACACACACACACACACACAGTCTTACTAACTACAGCTCATTACAATTGTTATTTTAATTCTGAAGTCATACTTTAATGGTTTACATGAGTAAATTCAAACTACTGTGTATAACAGACAGTGTAATAGTACATACAATACACACTATGGACCTTTACAAGGAAAGGTGGTTAGTTGTATTATAATATATACCTGGAAAAGGTAACCGTCATTCTCATCAACACCCCATATGTATACGTAAGTACGTGTGAACCTGTTTACTTGAACGTCGTGGAGATGCGGCGCTCATTACATTAATCATCAGAATTCCAAGCACAACAACCGGCCCCAGATTTGACGCCTACACTGGTCGACTACCTTACCTGGCAAGGAATCTATTTTACAAAAGACCGAATTCTAATAATAGCCATTGTACATTGAAATCCGTAGAAAAACACAAATCACCCAATAAATCAAATACAATTTCCTATAGAGAGTAAATGCCTAGGTGATATAATACAATGCCAAGGGCTTACAAGAAGATTATTTGATCCTTTAACTGTTGCACGTAAATGCCGCCTTTGGGCAACTACAGCTTGTATAACTTCCATAGTATGCCCCACTGATGACAAAGCTGAAAAGAATCGAGTCATTCGCCGCATTATACACGAAAAGCCAAGACGATCTTTAACAGAGTCAATATTTCCAACCAGTTGAGAAGCCTGAAATGAGAGAGACAGAGAAAACAAAAGTTATATAAGATAGCGATAGCTAATTGATATGCGTATTATTTTATTTACTTATTCCCCGTGTTCTGAATGGGACACCTGCATCACATTCAACTGGCCACACGACTCCCCAGATTCTCTTATTTTCTCTTCATATGGCCTTCTTCACGTCACCCTCGGAATCACGTCCCATCCGACTAACCTATTGTTTGTCATTCGGATTCCACTCAGCCGCCTACCTGGCGTGTGACATTAATTGAAAGCCGCTGAAGTGTATGCCTCATCTATCCCTTTCCTCTTGCATATTTTTAATTGGGCGAATGTTTCTTCGCCGGTTCGCTGTCAGAGTTGCTTGTTGCGGCTAGCGTATACATGTCATTAATACAGAACAGTACAATTAACAAAAATACAAAGCAATCAAACAAAATCCCTACAAAACCAATACTTGAAAATTGATCTGATGTGCTCACTAGTGACTGGCCCTATTCAGGCAGTTAACTTGGGGTTCTAGTGGGAAGCCGTTGACCAGTAGGGTACAGCAGGTCGAAGATGAGGCAGTAACTCATCGAAGAAGACATTGCGGAGTGGCCACGCTATGTCGTGAATTGGCAGAAGTTAGAATTCAAGGACCGTTGGATCGGGTCCCAGTGGCTCAATGGTCTACAAGCTCGCCTTGTAACCGGAAGGTCCTGGGTTCGAACCCCGGTGGGTGCGTACTGATGAAGAGTCCCAAAACTAGGACGAAACAGCTGTCTAGTACTCCCCGGTTTTCCAGTGATTCTCTAACTGATGTCAGCTCATGGTGAAATCCTCCACGCAATCAAACAAAATCCCTACAAAAACTAATACTTGAAAAATACATTTATAAAATACAAAATAATTGAGCAAAGAATATCCTTTTCAAAAATTTTAGTATATATATATATATATATATATATATATTAATATATGTATATACATAATATTAATATATTATATTAATTAATATAATAATATACATAGAATATTCTAGATTAGTATTAAAGAACAATATTAGTGTCGTTTCTAAATACCACCGACTTTTTAAAGTAAGATCAATGGAATTACAGTTCATTAAAGACGCTCAGATAATAATAATAATAATAGTGAAAATATAATAACTAATAGATACTAACACACAACCCCTTAGAAATGAGGCAAAAAGAGCATTCCCTGCTGCTGAATTGCACTGTCTTCAGAACCACTCATCTATTGCGTTCGAGAGGAAAAGACAAACTGCCTAATTTCTCCTCTTCCGTGTGTATCCTACCAATTTAACTGCTCCTGTGGAGTGAGCCAGTTACGTAGGCCGTACAATTAGGCGTGTTTCTCATCGGATTTCCAAATATCACCCTGCGTGGTTGGCTAAGTAAATGACAAACAAAATCTATTCGCAGCGCTATTCTATCTCACTCATCTTGTGCATACAGAACAGAAGATTGATGTTAACAAGGCGGTTTTCAAAGTCATTTACCGCATACCAATAAATCTTAATTTTGCCTTAAGAGTTCATCTCGTACATATTGCTGAGACTGTACGTTAGGAACCACATTAGGAAGCCTAATTTGTGCGTCCAAAAGAAGATGGTTGGTTCAAGCATTGTCCTTACCTTGGCCATCTAGGTTTGAATGATCCTGAATTTTTGTGAAATTTTCCTAATTGATATTCTATTTGCTATTATATTATTATTATTATTTAAACATCTTTAATGAACTGTTATTCCATTGTGATCTTACTTAACAAATCGATATTACTTAAAAAAACATTAATATTGTTATTGACTACTATTCTAGAAAATTCTATGTATATCAACATGCATATATATGATTGTACAGCGAGGAGAGGAGGAAATTATCGAAAAGGATATTCTTTGATGGTTCAATTATTTTGTGTTTTATAGATGTCTGAACGAATATTTTCGCCATAAAAATACATTTAAATCTAAACAACTCAACACAATATTTATTTGTACTACTGACTGCTTACCATTAACATACTGTCCGTATCAACAGGTTGTGATAAATGCAGATCATTTACAATAGAATCCAAATGAGTATTACACACTGGTGCTGGTTGAGATGAAGGAACTGAAAATACGCAACAACAAAAAAAATAACATGGACAGGCTGAAAACATAACAACGGAAAGGGGAGTTTTACTATTTACTGTTATTATTGTCGCTGGGATCGTACTGTAGCCACTACCATGGCTGTCTTCTCCACAAGTAGTCGACTAGCGTTCGACTTTCAGCTGTCGTAAGTGGTTCATTAGTGGAATGACCATCAATCGTGCACGTAGTCTGGGTTTGATTCCCAATCGACGCAGCCGTACACCTCGCGCCTAAACCGATAGTAAGCTCGATTAGGGGAGAGAGGAATAAGTATGAGGCTAGCAACTCCAATCTGCAAAAGCAAAACCACAGTTGCTAAAACCTCATGACTCAAACCTGAAGCACTATACTCCACTCGAAAGCAGAGGAATAAGAGGAAAAATAATTACTATTGGAAACTGAATAATTGATGACTACTACCTAAGACAAGGCTTTCTACTATCGCCAATGATTTCCCTGATTGCAGTAGATTGGATATTGAGACAGACAGCGGGCACGGCAGAGAGAAAACAGGCATAAAATGGACTCACACAAAAAGGAACTTGGAGGATCTGGACTTCGCCGATGATATCTGTCTGATTTCCCACAAACTGGAAGATATGCAAGTGAAAAGCAACAAGTTGGCAGAAGAAGCATCAAAGATAGGACTTCAGGTGAACGTAGAGAAAACAGAGGTGGTGATGAAGATACCTGGGCAACAACAACAGCAGCAACAACAACAATCAGCATAAATGGGAGGAACCTGAAAGAAACAAGCTCCTTAACCTACCGACCTGGGAAGCATCGTTTCAACTACAGGCCAACGGAACTGACGAGGATATCAAAGCAAGAATAGGAAAAGCAAGACAAGCTTTCATCACTCTGAAGTCGGTGAGAGGTCAACAGCACTCAGCATGAAAATGAAAATAAGATCAGGATTCCCAACTCCAATGTAAAGCCAGTCAGTGCTACTATACGGATCAGAGACTTGGCCAGCGCGTCACAAAGAGCATCTCAAACAAACTTCAGACCTTCATTAACAGCTGTCTTCGCTCAATACTCAAGATCAGATGCCTGGCCAGAAAAGATCAGCAACAGGGATCTGTGGCAATGAGCGAACCAACCAGGAACCGATTGTGAAACAAATGGGCAGGAAGAAATGAAGATGAATTGGCCATACACTCAGGAAACCATCAAGTGACATCACTAGACAAGCCATTGCCCGAGTGAAGAGGAGATGAAAACAAGTCGGCAGACTTGGAGCCAGGTGAAAACTCTAGCAGAGAACCGAACGCAATGAAGACGCGCGGCTGAAGTCCTATTTTCCTCTAGGAGTTAAAGGAAATAATAAAAAATAATAATAAACTACCTAATTGTACCAGTGAAGTTTTTTGTGAATCAAACTCTACAAGTTCGAAACCGTGTCGAGGCCTAGTAGAATAGTGTTCATAAAAATGATATTCCGAAATCAGTTATGATATTTACCGTTCAGTTTAGTTCCACCTTACTATGTATACATCGCTGAAGCGGTGGCCATTAAATACTTAGAACGGAACTTATTCATCTAGAAGGCATATATATATTTTTTTTCCTTCACGTTCCCCAGTGGAACATAGGGCTTCAAGCTATTGGCTTGAAGTTTCTGTAACAGTGTTTATTTTAAAGGATGGGGTTGCTAGCCTTACGCCCAACCTTTCCTCTAGACCAGCATTATTTCTGGCTCAGGGAGTTAAAGGAGTGCGTCGGCCGGGGATCAAACCCCGGACCATGTGCATGGTCGGCGAGTGTCCTAATCGCTATACCACCGACGCACATATTTTGTATTGGCAGAGTAATTCCACAGCCTTGATTTTACTTTTATCTGCACTCTTGTGCTGATTTATTATTTCTCGACATCTCCACTAAATTATTTAACTCGCATGTAACATGTAACTGAAATGAATTAAATATATGAACATGAAGAAATACACAGGATATCACATGAAGTGATTTGCTTACCTGGAGCATCTCCTTGATAATTCCTATGTGCAGTATTAGTACGATCAGTGTCACATGTAATAGTACTAACAGATACACCTGAATTTTGTCGATTTCGAGGTGACGCTACAGGAGTTAAACGTCGAGACGTACCAAGACGATACCAAGGATGATTAAGGATACCTTCGACAGTAAGACGATCAGAAGGACGATGAGCTAAAGCACGTGTTAAGAAGTTAGCCAAATCAGGAGGAAGTCGGGAAAATACTGGACCAGTGTGTAGATCTTTGTGTTCTGTCCATTGTCGGTATACAGGATCTGTTGTATAACTAGCACGAGACCAACAACGCTGACCAGTGACAGCCGTGAGAAGTGTAACACCAAGTGAGAAGAGATCAGCAGGTGGTCCAAAATATGGGCTACAAATAAGAAATCAAAATTTATATGAGGTACCATCCAGTGACAGCAAAGCCTACAAAAAAATATAATAGCCATTTAACAACCCATTGTCCAGACAAATGCAGAGTCTCCTGAACACCTTGAGCAGCAATCTCCGAATATTTCCCATGCGATTCGCTCGTGCTGTCAAATGTTAGATGATGCTACAGGGCTCGAACGAACAAAAACAGGCCGCGTGTGACCGGCCTCAAACAGTTGTCCCCTGGGCTCTGCGGTCACGCAACCAACTTCCACGGTGTGGGCAGCCGGGAAGTAACAATCGCCCTCACAATCCGAAATGCACACGAAACCTCTCTATTACTCACTCATCTTTGTCTTCATCTCTATCATCTTGCCTACCTTCCACTGATGCAACTCCTCGACTTGATAGCTCTCCACTTCCTCTCCACTCTGCATCCACTAAAAACGATGGAAGCCAAAAAACCACCACCGACAACCTCTTAAAGCCACGCCACCAATTTCATATAGGAGCTTTTAATGTTAGGACACTTTGCCAAATAGGACAACAAGCATCACTAGCCAAGACCCTGCCATCCCGAGCCATTGATGTATGCTTTGTTTCAGAAACACGCATACAAGACCCAAGTGTGGTTATTCACCTAACCCCACCTGGCCAACAGGTTGAATCTGCAAAATTCACCTTGAGGGTGTCAGGAGATGCCACAGATAGTTCACGAGGATTAGCTGGCGTAGGGATAGCTTTGAGTACTAGGGCAGAAAAGACATTACTTGACTGGATCCCGGTAGATAGCCGAATGTGTGTTGTCCGTCTGAACGGATCAGTAAAAAGGAGAAAGGACTGCACTACTCGCCGATCCTATTTCGTAATCTCCGCCTACGCCCCCACTGACTGCAGTTCGGATGAAACGAAGGATGAGTTCTACCAAAAGCTGTCTAGTTCGGTGAGAAAGGCTAAACGCTCAGACATAATCGTTCTAGCTTGTGACTTTAACGCTCAAGTAGGGAAATTGTGTCAATCTGAGAAGGATGTCGGTGGCACCTATGGAGTCCCGTGCCAGCGAACCGACAACGGTGACCGTCTCCCACAGTTCTGTTCAGATAATCATTTGTTTCTCGTAAGCACTAACTTTAAACACAAGGAGAGACACTGTTTGACCTGGTGACCCCCTTCATCAAACCAACTGACTGACTGACTGTTTTCGACATAGAACTTTGCACAAATGTGCGGAAGTTCAAGTCGCCACATTCCGTGTAGCACGCGAAGCAAGAGAAGAAAGTACAAGAAAAGCATAATAGAAACAGTGAGCAGAGGTGTGAGACAAAGGAGTAATAAAGAAATACAAAACAGTTTCATTGAAGATCATAAGTCACAGGGAGTGGATGCATCTGCGCCACTGAGAACGATTTTGAGCCATGTCACCAATTGTTTCCAACCATAGATTTTTACCGTCCCGAGGACCCCAGCCTGGAAGTCTACACCTTCCTACGTGGCTTAGACCAACTGTTGTGGATTTCATTGACTGGTGCCAAGTTTTTGTTTGACCGCCGCTAGCTTTTTTCCAGCCTGACCCTATATCCGCTAACATAGCTCGTCGAGGGAGGCGATGGCTTGGCATACGTAACACATGTCCTAACCATCTCAGTCGATGTAGCTTCACGACTTCGTCGATTGATTTCCCCTGTTTACCTAGAACTCGACGCCTAACTTCAATGTTGCTCACCTTATTATGCCACTTTACACGGGAAATAGAACGCAGGCACCTATGATCAAAGGCCGCTAATCTATTCATGTCTTCCACTCTCAGTGGCCAGGTCTCACAACCATAAAGGAGGACGGAGCGGACTGATGAGCAGTACACCCGCCCTTTGGTCGATAGTCGAACATCAAACCAACGCTGGACACAAATAGACCACATAGCAATAAGCTATCGTTGGCGTGGGTCGGTAGGAGATTGTCGCTCCTTCTGGAACACGTGTGTAGATACCGACCATGCACTGGTCCGCGCTCGGGTGTGCTTACGACTGAACGGACGTAGGAAACAGCTGGCGGTAAAACCATCACGTCCCCAGCTCGATCAGGAAACTAAATCCGTATTTGAGGAAGAACTAGCTAAACACATATCTGTGTTCGACAGCTGTGCTCACCCTGAAGAAGCTTGGAAAAATATCCAGGCAGCCATAGATACAGCTGTAAAAGCTGTGAATAAGGTAAACCCAAAGGTGAGTAAAAACCACTGGATCTCCACCGCCTCATCCGAACTGATAGATGCTAGAAGACTTATTCCGGCGAGCTCCGAATTCAATGAGGAGCGAAAGCTGCACAAGAGGAAACTTACGAAAAGTCTCCGCAAGGACCGTGAACAGTGGTGGGCGACAAAAGCCAAAGAGATGGAGAAAGCTTCGAGGATAGGCAACACCAGGCAACTCTTTAGACTCATCAGGGAAACGGGTGGGAGAAGACAAATCATTAGTGAGACAATCTCGGAAAAAAATGGCACTATAATTAGCTCCCAGGATAGACGACTGGATCGTTGGAAAGAGCATTATGAGGAGCAGTTTAATTTGCCCACAGCCACGCTCAACCTTCCGAGCATCCAACACCTCCCTGAATGGGATATAGACACAGGTCCTCCGTCACTAACTGAGGTTACTAAAGCTGTCACCAATCTGAAACTAGGCAAAGCAGCGGGACCTGATGGAATGACTCCAGAGGTATTTAAGTACGGTGGAGACAGCTTACTGTCCGGATTAACTGAGGTACTAGGCAGCGTCTGGGAATCAGAAGAAGTCCCATCGGGTTGGTGTAAGTCACTGATTATCCCCATATACAAGAAGGGAGACAAGTCTTCCTGTGATAATCACAGAGGGATTAGCTTGACTAATATAGTATCTAAAGTCTTAGGCTCAATAATCATGCGTAGACTGAGTGGTGCTCGGGAAGCACAAACACGAGAGAGCCAGGCAGGCTTTAGACCAGGAAGAGGGTGTATTGATCATATCTTCACCCTCCGACAGATTCTAGAACATAGGCATTCCTACCGGCGTCCAACAGTCATTATATTTCTTGACCTAAAAGGCAGCATTCGACTCTGTCGATCGAGAAGTTCTCTGGAGATGCTTGGCTGTAAAGGGAATTCCGAGAAAATATATTGCACTGATTAAGGCACTCTACTCGTACTCATACAGCCAGGTGAGGGCTTACGGCGAGCTGTCATCTGAACTGATGACGACCAGTGGTGTCCGTCAAGGATGCCCATTATCTCCTTTTCTATTCAACTTCATCATAGATGTGTTAATGGACTTAACCCTAGGTGACTTCAGCGATTCAGGGATTGACTTGCTACCAGGGAATAATCTCGTTGACTTGGAATATGCAGACGATATAGTCCTTCTAGGCGAAGACGCTGACGAAATGCAGAGTCTTCTAAACACCTTGAGCCGCAATCTACGAATGTTTGGCATGCGATTCGCTCCCGCCAAATGCAAGATGATGTTACAGGACTGGACTACATCGACGCCTAGTTTAAAAATAGGAAGTGAAGTGGTAGAGCACGTTGACCGCTTCACTTATTTGGGAAGTACCATCAGCCCCAACGGGTTGATCTCTGACGAAATCTCAGCACGAATACAAGGGGCTCGTTTCGCATTTGTTAGTTTACGCCGACTCTGGCGTAGACGAGATGTTCGACTATCGACCAAAGGGCGGGTGTACTGCTCATCAGTCCGCTCCGTCCTCCTTTATGGTTGTGAGACCTGGCCACTGAGAGTGGAAGACATGAAAAGACTAGCTGTCTTTGATCATAGGTGCCTGCGCTCTATTTCCCGTGTAAAGTGGCATAATAAGGTGAGCAACATGGAGGTTAGGCGTCGAGTTCTAGGTAAACAGGGGAAATCAATCGACGAGGCTGTGAAATTACATCGACTGAGATGGTTAGCACATGTGTTACATATGCTGAGTGGAGTGAAAGTATACCACTGAATTCCTTTGTTTCATTTGAAAAACGCAAACGAAAAAGTAAATAATAGCCACTGTGGAAGAAAGGCAGTTAAAGAATTCTACATAACACACACACACACACACAAAATAACTTGCACTACTTTACAAGGGCGCATTCAATGTAGCTTGGAGTGCAAGAAGAGTAAATCATTTATGCATCTTCATTTTTAAGAAGTCGATACTAACACATAAGGTTTTGAGACACTCCATAGTATTGAAGCAGTTTCTACATTCTGGTATTTCAAAGAAGTAGCAGGTGCTACTAGTTTGCTCACATCAACTTTTAGACGACGCCTTTTATGAACCCCACCAAATCGCAAGACGAACTTGGCACACACTAAAGCATGATCGGAGTTCAGGCATGTGCTCCAGAAGGAGTGACAGTCTTGTATGCATCGTCGCCACCGGGAACTGACAGTAATATGATCAATCTGAATCCAAGCTTGATTCGCAGAGGGATGACGCCAGGTAGCGCTACGGCGATGGCTGTGCCGGAAGTTGGTGCTGGCTAGAAATAGGTCGTAGTCCGCGCAAAGCTGCAGAAGATGGTTTATACATTACGACACGGTAGGCGCCATCGACCGACTGCAATAGTAATGGCAGCAATTGTAAAAATGATAAGAACAGTAATGGAAATATTAATTATGCTAATAGTGACAGTAGTACTGATGGTAATAGTAATACTAAGAATAACAATGGTAATATTACGGATACTGGTATTCGTAATAGCAACAGCAGTAATAGTGGTAATAGGAATGTAGATAATGATAATACTTATACCAAAAAAGGATAATAATAATAATAGAAATACGCATAATTACTTTTTTCCGAGAACTTCAGGAGCCGCATAACTCGTTGTACCGACTGGACCTTGAATAAGTTTTCGTTTGCGTAAATCTACAGCCCAACCGAAATCAATTAACTTGGCTCTATCCTTTTTAGTCAGCATAATATTCTCTGGTTTAACATCTAAATGTGCAATTTGTTGATCATTATGCAAATAGTTTAATGCATCTAAAATCTGTACAAGGAAGGTAACAGTACAACAAAAAAGGTGGAATTCAGGTACCTGATTTATATATTGAGAAATGTATATATATATATATATATATATATATATATATATATATATATATATATATATATATACAGACGAAGTTACCAAGTATTGGTTAGCAGAAGTCAGGATTTATTCACCGGTCATTGGACTGTGTCTCGGTGGATGGATGGTTGACCTGAAAGTAGAGTCTGTCGATGGCAATAGTGCTACGTATAGCGAATCAGTAGAAGTTCGAATTCTTTGGTCACTGGATTCCATTCCAGCTTGTTATCTCTCATGTGGCTAGTCACCACTCTACCAGTGGAACACCGAGACACTCATTTGATTCATTACAAATGATTATTTGCGACAGTCGGAACCGGTAGACACTACCCCCACTATATAACCCTGTCTACTGCCTCTATTATGCACTTCTACTTTCTTCTCTTCCCTTGTGTGCTACATGGAGTGTGACGACTTGAACTTGTGCACATCGGTGCAAAGTTCTATGTCGAAAACAGACAAACAGATAGACCTCCACTATACAGATCAGCACCCTCTTCTATACGGTTGGTAGTGAGTTGTATCTATTGTGTGTAATAGCTAAGGATATCAATCTGGCTGCGCACACAACAGGAGGAGTGAGGGTCAAAATCTATGACCCATGGGGGCTGGAAGTCGAGTCTGGACAAAAATGAGCTACATCTATCTGTCTAATCATCACTGTGTTTATTATCAACCGGCTGTCAGTAAGTCAACAAACAGTACCTAGTCATGTCATCTTAGTTTCAAGACAATACATTCAGGAGTTAAGTCGTGATATTTTCAAACAAGATGAGTGGATAAATCTGATATCATTCGACAACAGTGTAAAAAAACACTACAGTTCAACTTACAACGATTTAAGATCACAAAGAAAATACTGTTTCTTGCAAATAACACCATTGTTCACATAACAAATTTTGTAAGAATTAAGCTGGGACTTATTTGAGAATATACGAAAAATTCCAGAAAAAGTAGTTTATATATACCGTGGGTGCCTGCTTAAACGTCAGAGCATTAGGGCTGCTATCCACTGAATCAAGTAAATGGTTTTCAATCGGTTGCTGGTAGGCACACTAACCACCCACTTGAATTGTGGTTGATCATGTAATATGCCCATTACCATGCAATTAATCGGTATGGGGGCTGCTGGAATAACACTCACAGTAAATATCCAAGCCAACAAAGCCAGTTTTCCAAAAACACCAACTTATTGAAAGATGATCTCCGCTTTGTGCAAACGCATGCCGCCAGATCTCAGAATTACTTATATAACCATACTACCAGATGTAGGCATTTCTACGGAGACAGAAATAATCGAATCACCGATATCATCAGCTTGGTGAGCAGAATGTTAGAGACAGCAAAAAAACCAAAAAAATATGCAACTGTATTTATTTGACCAACGAATTTACGAATAAAAGATGTAGCTCAGCTACTTAAGCACTCGTCTTTCAGAAGATGAATCCCGTGTGGGTTTTAATCCAGCTCCATATGCTTACTTCATTCCAGGTAACTACTAGGTGGTACTACATAATAACACCTCCAGTTATAAGCTACAGATCCTTGAAGAGGAAAACAAAGACATAGTAGCAACCGTCACAGAAACAACGATAAATTGTACGTGAGGAAAACGACTAATTGAACCCATTTTTCAGCTCTAGAGCATTCAGCATAGTAAAGTTACATTGGCTAAGCATTTTAAAGGCGATTAGTGAACTTTTTATTGATGTTAGCTGATTGATTAGAAGCCAGTCCAGCAGGAGACCCTGTATCTAATCTCGTCAGGCAACAGTGGTTAAATGCTCACAAACTACACATCTGGTCTAGGTTCGATTACCGACCCACTGACACACTCCTAAACCTCGCCTAGCTAGCCAGCTGATAGTAAGGCCAGAAAAAAAAAGAGAAAGTTGGTCATGATGCTAGCAACCCTACCTCGTAGAGAAAAACACCGTCGCTATTGAGACTGTACAAAAAAGCTTTAAGCCCTATGTCCCATTAAGAACACAAAGGAATGAGAAGGGAAATTGTTGCTAAGCACTTGCACTCAGAACTAGCTAGACAGATGTCTGTCTGTTTTCGACATAGAACTTTGCACAAATGTGCGGCAGTTCAAGTCGCCACACTCCGTGTGGCAGATGACACTGTGGTTACTCCCAACTGAAGAATCAATGAAACTAATTGAATAAATCAGTTTCCGGATCCTGACATAAAAAATTACAATGATTTAGCTACTTTAACTTATGGTTATAATGATAAACACGGTTAGATGATGACAAAACAACAAGAACTTTAGGCAGGAAGCATAATTTACGCATAAAAGCTTTCTTTACCTGTGAATAATATATAAACATCTGTTGAACATGTAGTCCGACACCAATAGGAATACGATCAAACAATTCACCACCCGGCAATAATTCCATGAACATAACAGTGAATGTAGCAGTATTCCTGTAAAGTGAGAGAGAAAGAAAGAGAGACTATATACACAAACACTTTACACAAGCCCTTACACCTAACACAGTAGAATAACCGAACAGCACTAGACCATTGAGACTGAGTAATCAGTGTGGGACTATTATACACAGAAGTGAAGCAGTTTCAAATTGCTATGCTCTACGTAGCATAAAAAGGTAGATGACGGAAGTTCAAAAGAACTATGATGAACAGAAATTTACGGGAGGAAGAATAAGTTCATGGAGAAAAATGAAGGCTCAATGAATTTGGGAGGCTACAAGAGCAAATCCATCTATGCCGATGACAGTGATTCAGAGTCATTTCAGCAAGTCTCAAATCATTTAGTTCTCACTGTTTCAACGAGCCCACCTCGTCAGACAGCTTACAGTCCGCTTCAACGCTCGCTCAAAACAACAGCGCACATTCACGTTTTGATTCGACCATCGCTAACTCTTTTATGTTATTCGTTGAGGAAGCCGATAGCTTCGCATGAGTAACACAACCTGACCGACTGACTTTCCCTCCCTACCTAACATTCTATGCCTAACCCTTTTATATTGCCCACTATATTATACCACTTGACAGAGTGCAAACGTCTCTAGTTGGTCAAAAAGATAGATGACCTCTTCTAACGTTTACGTTTCACAGATACAAAGAACGACAGAGTGAACTGCTGAGCAGTACACAAGTCCTTTGTTCGACAGTCAGACATCATGTTTTTGCGAAAGATGACGTAAGCCATCGAATAAGTGAAATGGTTAATGTTGTGAACTTTTCTTATAATACGTATCTAATCATATTCATATCTCTACCGCTATTAACACTCTTTTTTCCCTTTATACGTTTAAGCCATTCCGGCTTCATTGTAAAATGAATAAAGCCTAAATTCTCGGTTCATTCTTCTTTTCAAGATTCAAGCACCACTCATCGTTCTAAGACTCAGTCACCTTCGTAACAATTTATTCATTTTACAATATTCATGGAACGATTTTTCCGACCTGATCGGTTCGACGTAGAACCTAACGCAGTTGGAGCTGCCAAGAAGTGGGATCACTGGTTTGCAACTTTTTCCTACTTCATTGAATCAATGGGAACCGAAAATCCTTCGAAACAACATATTCTCTTCAATCATATTTCTACTTCTGTGTGTCGGTGGCACAGTGGTTAGGACTCTCGCCGACCATGCACATGGTCCGGGGTTCGAGCTCACGCTGACGCACACCTGATATCTATGGTCGGCCTGCGAATTTTGGGCTGCCGATATCCACGCTGAAAATTCCACACTTGTCCCAAAAATACGGTGTGGAATCAAGCTGTAATCAAAAATAGAAAAAATAAAAAAAGCATTTCTGAATGCAAAACATACGAAGAAGCTATCGACACTCTCAAGAGTCTCTACATGCAGCTTTGCAACGAAGTGTTTGCTCGACATTTGTTAGCAACGTGTAAACAAGAATCTGGAGATAATCTGGATCAGTTTGTTCGTCGACTCAAGTCGCTGACTACAGATTGTTCATTCAGAGCGGTTACAGCCGAAGAACATTGTAACGAATCACTACGTGATTCATTCATCTCAGGTATACAGTCTTCGATGATACGCCAGAGGCCACTGGAACAGCGTACTTTAACTGTTCAAGCGGCATACGATCAAGCACAAGCTCTAGAGATGGCACATCAACAATCGCAGTCATACAACAATCCTGTTACACCTTGCGCGTCCATTTCTTTACATGATGTACCTCATTCATCAGATCCCACACCCTCCGTCAATGAAACAACCATTGCTGCCGTTGAATTCAAATGCTTTTTCTGTGGTAATCGTAGACATCGTCGTTCCAAATGCCCCGCCCGTGATGCAATTTGCAAAGCTTGTGGCAAGCTAGGACATTTTCAGAAGGTTTGCAGGTCAGCGCCATCTACGAAAAAAGGTCCATCTTCAGTTAACTCTATAATTTCATCTCTCGTTGTGGCTTCAGCACCTCAAAGTCTCACTGATGCTGTTACGCAGCTTACTGTCAATGGGAAATCAATGCAAGCTCTAGTGGATACCGGAAGCAGTGAGAGCTACATCTCTTCCTCAGTTGTTCGTAAGTATTACTGGAAAGTCTATAAGTCTCGAAATAGAATCATAATGGCAAGTACGAATCTTACTAGTCATACTGAAGGACATTGTTTTCTATCCATCTGCTACAAAAGCCATGCTTATGATCTATTCAAATTTTCCATTCTTCATAATTTATGTGCAGACGTCCTTCTTGGACATGATTTTTTAAAACTTCACAAACACATTGAGATTCCTTTTGGAGGATCAAAGCCGCCTTTTTCTCTCTGTGGTTCTACCTTGTGTTCGCGTCGACCTGCCTACTCTGTTTGAAAATCTTTCAAAAGACTGTAAACCGATCGCGATAAAATCCCGGCGTTATTCTTGTGAAGATGAAAGTTTTATTTCCACCGAAGTCAACCGGTTACTGCAAGAAGGTGTTATTGAACCTTCTAATTCTCCTTGGCAAGCTCAAGTTCTTGTTACGTCAAACGAACGCCATAAAAAGAGGATGGTAGTTGATTATAGTCAGACAATCAATCGATTCACTTTTCTAGATGCTTACCCATTACCTAGGATTGACGAAATGATAGAAAAAATCGCATAATATGACTTATTTAGCACTCTTGATCTGAAGAATGCTTATCATCAAATTGCCCTAAGGAACGAAGATAAACCATATACTGCTTTCGAGGCTTGTGGGAAACTACCAATTTTGCCGAATTCCTTTTGGTGTTACCAATGAAGTAGCTTGTTTTCAACGCATTATCGATGAATTGATCAGTAAAGAACAACTCACAAGCATGTTTGCCTACATTGATAATGTCACTATCTGCGGCAAAACTCAGGAGGAACACGACAAAAATCTAAACAAGTTTATGGTAGCAGCACGCAATTATGGAATAACCCTTATAATTAATAATAATTTTTCCTTCACGTTCCCAGTGGAACATAGGGCTCCAAGCTAGTGGCTTGAAGTTTCTGTAGCAGTGTTTAATTTTTACAGGATGGGGTCGCTAGCCTCATGCCCAACCTTTCCTCTTTACCAGCATTATTTCTGGCTCAGTGAGGTAAAGGAGTGCGCCGGCCGGGGATCGAACCCCGGACCATATGCATGGTCGGCGAGCGTGCTAACCGCTATACCACCGACCCTTAATGATTCCAAAAGTGTGATCTCAAGCAGAAGCATACAATTACTCGGTTATGAAGTTTCAAAGCGGGTTATTAAACCAGATCCCGATCGGCTAAAACCTCTTCGTGATCTAGAACCACCCACAGATATCAAATCTCAACAACGGGCCGTTGGATTATTTGCTTATTATTCACAGTGGATCCCTCGCTTCTCAAATAAAATCCACCCATTAGTAAATAATCGGATTTTCCCTCTTGATATCGAAACTCGAAATGCTTTTGACAAACTGAAAAACGACTTAGAACGTGCAGTCGTTGTGGTAGTTGATCCGAAAGCACCCCTTGTTGTTGAAACAGATGCTTCAGATGTCTCAATTGCAGCTACATTAAACCAGAATGGTAAACCTGTCGCCTTCTTTTCTCGAAGCCTCTCTCGAAGTGAGAAACATCATTCATCGGTTGAGAAAGAAGCCTATGCCGTGGTTGAAGCAATTCGTAAGTGGAAGCATTACCTTCTCGGAAATCACTTCAAACTTGTCACTGATCAACGTTCAGTAGCATTCATGTTTGACAAGATTCATAAAGGCAAAATCAAGAACGATAAAATAATGCGTTGGAGAATTGAACTATCCCCTTATCAATATGACATCATTTATCGTCCTGGAAGGGATAATCAAGCTGCTGATACATTTTCCCGTAGTTTCTGCGGTTCCTTGCAGTCAGTGTGCGACTTAAAATTTCTCCATGACTCTATGTGCCATCCTGGAGTTGTCCGAATGATGCATTTTGTACGCTCGAGAAACCTTCCATTCTCCCTTGACGAGGTGCGCAATGTAACCAGTAAATGCGTGACATGCTGTGAGTTAAAGCCTCAATTTTACAATCCCTCTAATTTCAAACTCATAAAAGCAACCCAACCTTTTGAAAGGTTAAGCATCGACTTTAAAGGACCTCTACCGTCAGCTAGCCGCAATCACTATCTGCTCACGCTGATCGATGAATATTCTCGATTCCCCTTTGCATTCGCCTGCCCCGACATGTCGTCTCAAACGGTAATGAATTGCCTTTGCCAACTGTTTTCGATTTTCGGTATGCCTTCTTACATACATACCGACAGAGGCGCTGCTTTCATGTCTACCGAATTACGGGCATTTCTTCTGGAGAAAGGCGTAGCAACCAGTCGTACTACCTCATACAATCCTCAAGCCAATGGGCAGGTCGAGCGCCTCAATGGAACACTTTGGCGTGCCATCACTCTAGCATTAAGATCACGGGGTCTACCAACGGCACAATGGGAGTCTGTTCTACTCGACGCCTTGCATTCCATCAGATCTTTGCTCTGTACTGCAACGAACGCCACGCCACACGAACGACTGTTTACCTATAACCGAAGATCGACATCTGGGACAACTCTTCCTACTTGGCTCACTGTACCAGGACCAGTACTTCTCCGGCGGAGTGTTCGTCAGTCCAAATTCGATCCCCTGGTTGAAGAGGTGGAGCTATTGAATTGTAACCCGCAATTCGCTCACGTTCGCTTCGGTAATGGACGTGAAGATACAGTTGCTCATCATCATCTGGCACCCAAAGGCGAAGATTTAGATCAAGTTGAAAATTCAATACCGGAGGGCGACGCAATTCCTGAGCAACAAGTAAATGGGGATGCGACCACTGATCCTAATATTCTTCGTGAAGAAAATACAACTGAAACGAACAACGGGCGTATTCTTTTGGAAAAACAACGTGTACGGCCTTACAATTTGCGTACCACAGAAGCGTGACATAATGGCTCATTCCTTTTCAAGCCGCAGTGAATGTTGTGAACTTTTCTTATAATACGTATCTAATCATATTCATATCTCTACCGCTATTAACACTCTTTTTTCCCTTTATACGTTTAAGCCATTCCGGCTTCATTGTAAAATGAATAAAGCCTAAATTCTCGGTTCATTCTTCTTTTCAAGATTCAAGCACCACTCATCGTTCTAAGACTCAGTCACCTTCGTAACAGTTAAGACACTCAACCGGTTCACTCCCTACCTTTAAACTAGGAAATAGTGCAGACAACACTTGTGGCATGTTACATTTGACAGGAGTGCATTGCACAACAAGTACATCAAGATTTCTGCTGTGTAGAAGAATCCGTTTTTTTTCAGCGTCCTTCCTAAAGGGATTAAAACCAAAGATTCACGAGACACAATACAAAGCATACGTGTTGAAGGTATCCAGATACAGACGATGTCATGTACAATTCAGCAACCATATGCGGACTCTTAAAGTAGGGAGTGTTACATTCATAGTATGAAGGAAAATTATACTTCCATCCATTAATAGTGTTAGGGTAGGATGCAATCGTTAAAACTCAAGGCCAAATGGTCGGATACCAAGTGTCTACACTAACAAGCGAGCTACATATTCCGCAAGTGGCAGGCAGGAAGTGAACTACTTGTGACGATCAGTGAGAATATTGTTATATTTGGTTGACGTTATTAATAAAAGGCAGAGTTCATCTGAAAATGATGTATACTTGAGCAATACACATTACGAACCATCTGATCAAACACACACACATCTACTTGTCAATTAAATTTATATGAAAATGAAAAACAAACAAAACATGAAGTAAAATTCGAGACATAATACGCGGATTTAAGAGTAACCTGATGAGATGCTTTCGGTGACACGCCAAGTCTCTAAAGCACATGAAAGCACTGACAACGTATATTCCGGGTAACTGAGTAGTTTTAACAACTCTGACTTACTGAGAAAGAACTCTAGCAACAAACCAATCAAAGACCTATTGCCCAACAAATATGTTGAAGAAAATGGAGATGGACTAGACACACACTGAGGAGACCGTCGAGTGACACCGTGGCCCCAGGCTCTTGAGTGGAGATCGAATGAGAAACAAGTTGGAAATGGGTCAGAGGATGACATGAAGGAGATTGTGTAAAGAGATGAGAGATTATGAAAAGTCGAGGAGCGACCCAGAGGACTACAGAAAACAGGGTGGTATGGAAATGTGCTATGTTCCCCTAGGAACCTAAGAGCGTAATAATGATAATCACAATAGCGATAGTAATATCGTCCACTGGGTGCACAATATTAAATATGAAGTAAAATAGGCTTTTGGAAGAACATTTATGACGAAACAGAAATATACAATATACGAGCAGTCGGACTATTTTTAGGCCAACGTTTTCGCTGAACACAGGAGTTTGCGTTCTATTTCCCTGTAGCATTGAGGTCAGACGTAGTTTTAGGTTAGGAGAGTAAGACAACTGATCAGGCTGTTAAGCCACATTGATTGTAATGATTAGAAAGCATTTTATGCACGCGAAGACGTCTTCATCATCGAACAACGCTAGTTGACATAGTAAGGTGGAAAAGTGTTAGGGGTAGTCAAATTAAGACCTAATATCAATCCATGGAGTGTTCAACTGTTGGTAGGAATGTGTGGACCGTCATACTGGCTAGGATCTTCGGAATGCTTAAAAGCACTGACTTGAGACTGTCGGCCATATAGCTCAGAAATGTTGTCAGCCGTGTTGATATCTTCCAGATTCACGAAGTTCTGATGGTTTTCCATTTAAATAATCTTTACCTTGTTCATTTCCACTTAATAGCGCTCTTTTGGATTTTTTTCTTTCTCTACCTTTGTGTGTTGCATGGAAAATTGAACTAGCTGCAAAGTTTTACATTGAAAACTTACTCAATCAGTCAGTCAATCTAGGTAATAATGGTAATCAGAAATTGAATTTAGTCAGAAAGCATAAAAATATAAACTACTACTAAATAGAAAGAGGAGAATATAGCTTGCCTGATCCCGTATAGAGTAGCGATATTAGGATGCTTTAAGCGTCGTTGTAGTTCAGCTTCTTGACGGAGATCAGCTCGAATTTGTGCAACATTGACTTCAGTTTTCATATTGCTACGTTGACAATTTTGACCGTAGACATTGACTACTTTTGCAGCTAAACAGTCTTTTGTATCCGGATTAACTATCAAGTATACACGTCCGATCCCACCTTCCGCAAGACAATGTGATATCTGATAACCTGGGGGTAGGATAGGTTGAGCTTCGGTCCTTATTGACTAAAATTGACAAGAAATTCGTTAAAAAAAGAGGTGAAATGCGGGCTTCAAGAAGAACACAAAGTTATCAATAACAATAATGAACCCATTATCCATTAATTTTTTTATAAATCAGGTTATAAACCAGCCAGTGTGTGGGTTAGATTTGATCTTGACTGACGCGTCAGTCTAATTTACTGCCTTCAAATGAGCTCCTATAATTGACCCGGGACGGTGCCGAGAAGGTATACTCTAGTCGTCTTCTCGAAATGTGTTCATTTAGCCATGAATTAACTCCTGTCTCCTTCCTTTATGCAGTAGGGATGTCCTAACAAAACTGAAAGCTCGGTAGTCATAACTGGACTGATGGAACTAGGATGTCCCGACTCAAACCTATGGTAAACACGGCCTTGAGAATCCAGGAGGATTGAGTGGCTTACATACCTGTTTTGGTAACCAGTAGTTTTGTCACCTTATGGATCGAACTTCGAGTCAAAACTTCAGGAAGTGGTCCCTTGAAACAGCCACCTGCTTCTTCCTTGTCGTCTAGATAGCAGCTCAGCTCTCTGACAGATTTTGAAACAACAGTGCGAAACTATACTTACGTGTCTTGAAATGATTGTTTCTTTTAAAGTTCGTGTGAAAATAAACGTTCGATGTTTACGGTCAGAATGACTGACCCTAAACTATCATGGTTTAAGATTTACAATCGGATGAATTAATGTGTAGATCAGTAACCACAGAAATGACTAACTATATGAAAGACATTCTTGATAAACTCGTGTGATACAGTATAATCCCACTCATATAACTAAAAAGAACAGATAACTCGGTCAGTATTCGACTGTACTAAAATTGGTAACTCTTGTTTTACTGTAGCACTTCCATTCGTTATTAATACCACTGGCCTTATACAACGATCTGACCATGATAGCGTACACCAGAAAGTGCATTGAACTGGAATATTCTAAGCATGCCACTCGTAAAACTAATTGCAGTTACATTTCACAACTTGCGTTAAAATTGAAACAATAAGTGAGGTTCAGTCCATTAAATTAACGTAAATATATATAGAGGATCGAATGTTATTATACAGTATTTTTACCGTTTCGCAGATATAAAACAAAATTTTGACCTAGATTTTGCTAACCTTTTCTATTGACGTTTCTTCTGAATCTTCGCAGTTTTTGGCTGCATCAAGACTCTCCGTCGTCGTCTTGGACACTGAATTGCTATGGAGGTGGATACATTGTACACATTTACTCAGTTCATCCGCGTACATAGCATCAAAGAATAACCACAAGATAGTTGTCTATGAGAATACAAATTGTGATAACAAGTGTAAGTATGCATTCAAAAAACATTCAATTTCAACACATAAGAAAGGAATCAAAATGCGTACAATAAAACTTCTGCTAGGAAAATGTTGACTATTAGTACCAAACCCAATTATTTACATTAAATCAAAGAACTCAGTCAATACAAATAATCAACACCGATTTAAATGCTGACAACATAGTCAAACTAAATCAACAGAACACAAGGATAGGACACACATACACAAGAAGAAAAACGCAACAAAAACCAAAACAAGGATAAAAGAAGAATCATCAAAAGAAGTATTACATCACCCAATTGATGCCCATGATACGGTCGAATGACAATCGACCATCAACACAGACAATCCAAATCTAATTCAAGCCTAAATCAAGGTGTACATGCTGAGATTCTAGACGATGAGAACCAAAAAAACTAACAACAACGCCTCCAGACATCGCCACAAATAAGTGTGCATTAAAATCCTTCCTCTTCCTTTAGCCCCATAACATAGTTACTACGTGAAAGAAGTCTTCCAGACAGTTGAATTCTAACTTCACTGGACACTAGATAAAAATGTGCACTAAACATTCAGTCTGTTATGGCAAAATTGAGCAAACTCGTCCGGAGAGCTACTCCACGTGCTCCAGAGGTTGTTACACTTACCTCTGTTGACCGAGACACACACTGAGACTTAAGTACTCAGGGCACTTGATGAAAACGTCTAAGGCAAGGTGTCTGAAGGAGTAGTGACGGAGCGGAGCTATTCATTTGTTTCAAGAAGCAGATTCAAATATTCACTTTCAACACACTCAAGTAACCGAAACGCGCAGCTAATTAGCTGCAAGTGCCTATCTAGCCAACGAAAACAGAGTGAAGGGAGCACTGTGATAAGATTTGGATGAAGAGCAAAAGAAATGTAGAATCAGTCAAATGTGAAGTGATCTGACTAGCTAGCAGTTCACTGCCAATCTCGATAAGGAAGAGGGACAATTGACAAGGCCCCTCAAACCGAAAGTGGTAAATGGCATCTTGGAGAAGGACGAATGAGGTTGAACACTGAGTGCAAATAGTCATAACCACATATCCTTTGCAAGAACCAATGTACTCCTCTCTGTCAGCTTTCTACTTATTTGCCAGCCCACACCAAGCATAAAGTGCCATAGTGACGGCTCTGTCTGACTGTTATCACATTCAGTGAATTAGTGAAGTTTCCCTTCGGAACAATTAATGGCTTTGATCCCTCCATTGTGCATACATGTGGAGACATCCATTTAAGGAACCTCCGAGATCTGTGTAAACGAGTGCATACACAGACATCCGTGAAAATTTACCATTTCATGTTGGGTCAATTATGTTGGACTAGATCCAACCAGCAGACACCACTGATATTCCTCTGGAACCACTGCTATTGAAATTCTGTCGGGACCTGACCACCATCGGAACACTTGACGGCTGGTGCCCAACATGTATGCTTCCCATGAAGGCGTTTCGCCAGATGGAGTGATCTGATTTCCCATGAGAAATTAACGACTCCCAACATTGTCGTTATAATGAATGACTCTCAGATTCACACGGCTCGATAACTAAGGCATGACTATCATACAGATTGAGGTCTATGTCATCACCACGTTCAGAAAATACATGTCCATATGCTCGAAACTCATGACAACTTACACGCAACGGAGAGCACAACAACCGACCCAGTGGACCAGCTGCAAAGACCAACAAGCGAATTGCCGCCCTGCTATGCGCCACTTACATTGTGAATCAAGTAAACAAACAAACGGAGATATTCAGTGAACACATGGTCTTGTCGAAATTCAGTGAAAATGATCACAATGAGATTACATCTTCATCCTAATCTTTTCTTCAGTAGATCTTTTTTGACCTGTGTACAGCATAATGACATATGTTGGCATCAAATGTTTCTTGTGATTCACGAATTACGGTTAAAATCGCTATCTAGGACTGAAATGATAAGAGTCTCTGTCAGTCGACTTCAGTCAGATACCAGTATTCATCCAACAGCCTCGTGAATGAACCACTTCGAGGTGGAGATATAACTTCTTGAGGTAGTCGATCCGTCGTGATAACTCCATACCATCATTGATAGACCATTTTATTCTGCACAAACCACTGTTGTTCTGGCTTTATTCAAATTCATCAAGGGGAATAAATGCATGAAGTTTCTCAAAAATTGTCCTGCCTAAATGTTACATTGTTTAACCGTCAGCCTTGTCTCCTTCTCGATTGCGCCCTTCGAGCTATTCTCACTTGGTTCGATGATTCCTGGGTCAAAGAAGGGACGAAGAGTCTTGGAAGCAAGAAGGGAAGTAAGTCACGCTGAGTTGCTTGTTAATTGTAATGATAGGTATGATGCTGAGCATGATGGATGTTGTTCATGGTTCGCCGTTTAGAGATAGTAAGGGTTTAAAGTTAACTAAATTCGAGCCTTGGTACTTTGATGGAAACCCAACCGACTATCCACAGTTTATCGAAGAGTTTGAGATCATGTTGAGTGGTTTTTTATTAAATGATGGAATAAAGTTTATGTATTTGATGAGGTACTGCACTGAAGTTGCTTCAAGAGCTATACAGTGCTGTAAGTTCAGGCGCCCTAACGAAGGACACTCCGAGGCTATGAATATACTGCGTC